AGTAAATATATATTTATAAGCAAGGTTTTATACATCTTATTGTAAAATAGATTTTGTAGCTTTACAATCAATTCTTAACAAGAAATTTTGATTTCGTAAATCAGTCTGAAATTTGGAAATGCATAAAACAACAACAACAACAACAACAACAACAACAACAACAACAACAACAACAACAACAACAACAACAACAACAACAACAACAACAACAACAACAACAACAACAACAACAACAACAACAACAACAATAACAACAACAACAACAACGACAACAACGACCTAGTAAAATCTTACAAATAGTGTCAGGGGAGGGTAGTGTATACGCAGACTTTACCCCGACCCAATGGGGCAAAGAGGCTGTTTTGGATAGACCCTCGACTCAAGAAGATGAAAAAGACGAGAATGGACAATATATCTATACCATCAACAGAAACTATAGAATTAATAACAACATCAAAAGAACCAGAAAATAGATGACATGCAATAATAATAACCGGTAATTAAGGCCTGATGCTATGAAAAACAGAAGGATAGTGTGAACACAATATTAATTACTAGCCGTCTAAGATCAACCCTATCAAACTAGCCTCACTCCCGGTTTAAAGTATAAAAACCTCGACTACCTCCTAGCCTACTACCCTAATGCTCGACCTTCACACCTTCCTATCAAGGTGACATGTCCTTGGAAATCTACAGACCTGCCAACCTCTCCCCAATACTTCTTAGGCCGCAACCTACCTCTTCTCGTACCTGCCAGATCCAACCGCTCATACCTCCTCACTGGAGCATCAAGCTTCTCCTTCGCACATGCTTGAACCATCTTAGCTCGTTTCCCGCATCTTGTTATCTACAGGGACCATGCCCACCTTCTCCCAAATATCTTCATTCTTAATCCTACCCATCTTAGTATGCCTACACATCCACCTCAACATCATCATTTCTGTTACTCTCATCTTCTGGATATGAGAGTTCATAACCGGCCAACACTTTGCCCCATACAACATAACTGATCTAACCACCACTCTATAAAACTTACCTTTGAGTCTCGGTGGTACTTTCTTGTCACGCAGGAATCCAGATGCTAGCCTCCATTTTATCCACCCCACCCATATTCGGTGTGTGACGTCCTCGTCGATCTCTTCGTCCCCCTGGATAACCGACCCAAGGTACTTAAAACTACCTCTCTTGGGGATGACATGTGATCCAAGCCTCACATTCATGCCCAGTTCTCTCCAGTTGGCGCTAAACTTGCACTTCATGTATTCTGTCTTAGTCTTGATCAACTTGAAACCCTTAAACTTAAGGGCATGTCTCCATACCTCCAGCGTCTTGTTAACACAACCTCGCATCTCATCAATTAGAACTATGTCATCAGCGAATAATATATATCATGGCACCTCCCCTTGGATGTGGTGTGTTAGTGCATCCATCACCAGGGCAAATAAGATCGGTCTAAGCGCAGATCCTTGGTGTAACCCCATAGCAAGCAGGAAATGTTTTGGGTCGCCTCCTATAGTCCTAAACCAGAGTCTTAGCTCCATCATACATGTCCTTGATCGCTCTAATGCAAGCTACCCGCATACCTTTTTCCTCCAGGCATCTCTAGAGAACCTCCCCAGGGACCTTGTAATACACTTTCTCCAAGTCAATAAACACCATGTGCAAATCTTTCTTCCTATCCCAGTCATGTTCCACCAATCTGCTAATAAGGTGGATAACTTATGTAGTCAAACGATTCGGCATGAACCCGAACTGGTTGTCCGATATAGACACTGTCCTCCTCACCATCACTTCCACCATCATCTCCCAAACTTTCATGGTATGACTTAGTAACTTGATACCCCTATAGTTATTACAACACCGTATATCACCTTTGTTCTTGTACAAGGGTACCACTGTACACCATCTCCACTCATCCGGTATCCTCTTCATCCTGAAAATAATATTAGACAACTCAGTCAGCCACTCCAAGCCTGCTCTACCCACACACCTCTAAAATTCAACCGAAATTTCTTCTGGCCCTATCTCTCTGCCCCTACTAATCTTACACATAGCCCCCACAACCTCCTCAACCTTAATGAGCCTACAATACCTAAAGTCTGGAAGACTCTTTGAATACCCCATATCACCTAGCACAATATTCTGATCCCCTTTTCATTGAGAAGTTCATGAAAGTAAGTCTTCCATCTCTGCTTAATCTGAGACCCCCCCCCATCAATACTCTATCGTCCTTGTCTTTGATGCACCTTATTTGGTCCAGATCCCGAGCCTTCCTCTCTCTCGCCTTAGCTAGTCGAAATAACTTCTTATCCCTACCTTTTTCCCTCAGTTCCTCATATAGACATCCAAATACTGCAGTCTTAGCCTCCATGACCATCAGCTTTGCCTCCTTCCTTGCTACCTTATACCTCTCTCTGTTCGCTCTCCTCTCGTCCTCGCATGTGTTCCTACTTACTTTAGATATGCTACCTTCTTTACATCCACTTTGTCTTGGACCACGTCATTTCACTACCAGTCACCTTTGTGACCGCTAGAGTAATCCTTCGATACCCCTAGCACCTGTCTTGCCGCCTCCCTGACACAGTTCGCCGTCGTCGTCCACATAGCGCTCGCGTCCCCACTACTCCTCCAGGATCCGATAGCAGAAAACCTCCCATCCAACTCCTGGGCTTTATCCTTATTTAAGGCTCCCCACCGAAGCCTCGATCGACCTCGAGCATTCCTCTTCTTCCTCCTTATCATGATACTGATGTCCATTACTAAGAGCCTATGCTGAGTCGAGAGGGTATTAGCCGGGATAACCTTGCAATCCTTGCACAACCCTTTATCACACCTCCACAATAAGAGATAATCAATCTGAGTCTTCGCTATAAAGTTACCAGATGCTCCTCCCTATTCGAAAAACTAGAGTTCGCAATCACCAGCTCAAAGCCTTAAGGAAATCCAACAGCGAAGTACCTTCTCCGTTCATATCTTCAAAGCTGAAGCCGCCATGCACCTTGCCATAGCTACCAACAGTTGACCCTATATGGACATTGAAATCTACTCCAATAAATAACCTCTCAGCTGGTAGAATACTATGCACAATCTCATCCAACCCTTCCTAGAATCACCTCTTAACCTCCTCATCCAAGCCCGCTTGCGACGAGTAAGCGCTAACGACATTAAGGGTGCACTCTCCAACCACTAACTTAATAGATATTAATCTATCATTCACCCGCATAACCTCTACCACAGACTCTCTAAGGTCCTTATCCATCAAAATACCTATTCCATTCTTACCCTTCATGACTCCAGAGTACCACAACTTGTACTCATCTGCATCCTTCGCCTTCGACCCTACCCACATAGTCTCCTAGACAAAAGCTATATTGACCTTTCTCTTCTGGATCATCTTCGCCAACTCTATAGACTTACCCAATGTACCTATATTCCATGATCCAATCCTCAACCTACAAGCTCCATTGTTCCCCTTACCCCCATTGCCTCATGTCCTACCTTCTGACCCCTGAACCACCCCCCGCACGAGGATAATTGCTATTTTTATTAATTGTAGGATAATCTTTTTGAGAATTATTCCATCGCTTTGATGCAAATGCAACAATATGTTCCTTGATTTCTTTTTCCTGCTTTGAAATACTACCATAACCAATGTCTGATACATCAATTTTAACTATTTTCAAAAATCAAAGGATCAGGAGAGACTAGTAAGAAAGATCTTTGTCTTACAGTTTGATTTCCCTGATAATAGTGGTGTGGACTGAAGTCCACGGAGGTAGATGTTTTATTATCCTATCATGGAGAGGTTTTAGCAAATTGCTAAGATTTGGAATGAATTGTGACACATAATTAATACATCCTAAAAATCTTCGAAGTTAGGTATTATCTAAGATTTGGTCAGAAAATTTGTTGTTCCCTACTGGTTATTCTGCCCAAGAAATTCGATGTTGATTTGAAAAAGACTGTATTTAGTTTTTGATAAAACTAATCCATTTTCTTTAATAACATTAAAGAAAATCTTTTGATGTTTAAAATACTAATATATGCTAAGAGAAAATACTAAAACATCATCAATATAAACAATAATAAATTTTAAAAAATGATTAAAAATAGCATCCATTGTTCTTTGAAATTCAGAATGGGCATTTTTTTTAAAACTAAATGGCATTACATTCTATTCATATTGCTCAAATAGTGCGGTAAAAGCGGTTTTATACCGATTCTGAAATCTATTTGAATTTACCAAAATTCTGATTTAAATCAAATTTTGAAAATATAATTGGAGCATAAAGCAAATGAAGTAAATCTTTCTTGTTTGGAATAGGATACTTAATCTAGCGGAGTACTTTATTCAAAGATTTATAATTGATGACTAATCGAGGAACCCCTCGTTCATTCTCTGAGTTTTTATTAGCGTAAAGGCAGGATAACTCCAAGAGAATTTGTTTGGAGAGATGATGCGTTTATCAAAAAGATCAATGATATTTTTTGACAATGAGTGGTTAGCACGTGATTCATTTGGATAGGATGGGATTTTGTAGGGATGGTTTTTTCCATCAAAGTCAGCTTCATAAGGAAGCCTAACAATGTGTTTCTTGCGATTCCAGAAGGCTATAGGTAACTCAGCACAAAGTTCTTCCGGAATTTTGGTTTCTAAAGTTTTTATTTTGGATTAGAGAGAAGAATCTTGAAATTGCTGCTATAACATCTGGAATGCTACTTCTTATTTGAGAAAGTTGATCTGCGCTTCCTTACCTTTTATGGTAGACATGATCTTTATAATTGGGAGTCTATCCAAAAGGAAGAAGAGTTCTACTTCCTATACGTCGATTAGAATCCCTTTGTTGGCTACCATAAAAGGTATGAGCTCCTCGATGAAGGGAGTACCCAATATAACTAGATTGATTAGGTCTTTTATTAATGGAAAGGAACTTGATACTAACAAAGATGAATTTTTAGAGAGATTCTTACTTCAACATTGGAGAGCTTGAAGCCGATTCCTAGTTTTCTGGCATTGTCAGCTCTAAGGCCTCTTTGGTTTTTTCCAAATATTTGGTTGGAATGAGACCCTCTTGTATGTAGTTGAGACCTGCACCTGTATCAAATAAGGCAACGACAATTAGGGTAACTCTAATATGTCATTTCCGTATGTAAATTTTGGAGAGGTGGTTGATGAAAACTTCTTGGTCAACTGGCTTGGTTTCAGTTTGTTTGGATTCTTCAGATTTGGTAGAGAGGTGTTGGAGAACATCACGGTCTAACTCTTATCTAGCCTTAATTTCCCGAATTTCTCCCTTGAGGAGTGCTATCTCAGATTGAAGATCTTGGACAATTGTCTACTTTAGGTTTTTGAGAAGGAAATCTAGAAAGAACATCAGTGATATTGTAGGTTCCCTACTATAATCCTTCTCTACAAGTTGCCCCTGATAGAGCAGACTTTTCCAACTAGAGTAAACCCCAAAAACTCTAGTATTCTAGAGCTATCGATCCAGATATAGCTTTAGAAGAACACTTCAATGTCATGCAGAATAATTACAATGCCAACTATATATATATATATATATNCATAGATACAAATCATGCAACGTCTATTCATTTTGGCTACTGAACCAAAACTTAAACCCCCACCAACCAAAAAAAATCCATCGAGAGGAAAATGTGGTGTATTTGGTTATAAAGTTCATTAACTCTTCTATTTAGAAGTCTAATTTCACTCTTAAAAGAGTCAATGTTGCCAAGAAGAGTGACACAATGCTAACATCGATAGCTCGCCCTCCTTGTCCCACGATATGTCTAGAGATGGTTATCATGTAATATTATGCTTTCATTTTCTACACATTGAATAGCCATATATCTTCCATTTTTTCTCCTTGGATTGGTCTATGCACCTTTGATCTTTTTTTTTTAATCTTATGGCACGGGTAGGTGCTCGAGGTGTTAAACAATAATTTCGGGCAACTCCATCACAGTTCTTAGCACGTTCGAGGACGAACGTATGTTTAAGTGGGAGAGAATGTAACGACCCGACTGGTCGTTTTAAGCTCTAGCGCGTCGTTCAGCAGTTTGGGGCCATGAGCAGCTTCACTTCAGGTATTATGACTTGTACGCATGGTCAGAATTGACTTCCAGGGAATTCGGAGTTGATTTGGAAAAGGAACTCTCATTTCGGAAGCTTTAACTTGAAAGAATTGACTAAGATTGGATTTCAGAGTAAACGACCTTGGAATCGGGATCTGAAGGTTCCAGTAGGTTCATATGATGATTTTGGACTTGGGCGTAATGCCCAAATCGGGTTTTGGATGACCCAGGAGCGTTTTGGCGCCTATTGTGGAAGTTAGCATTTTGGAAGAAATTTCATAAGTTTGGGTTGAAGTGTATTTCAGTGTTATCGACGTCCGTTTGGAATTTCGAGTCTGGGAGTAGCTTCGTATGGTGATTCTGGTGTTAGGAGCGCGATCGGAAGTGAGCCAGGTGTTTTCCACATAGAAATACTTGTGTTCTTTACTTTTTACTTTACTTATTCCGCAACTGTAGTTTAAAGAACGCATAGAAGAATCAGGTCCTTCTATAACCCAATGCATGTGAAAATTGGACACCACACAAATCACTTCCCCTCTAGTGTGATATTGAAGTATAAAACATCAAACTGCAATTGGAGAAATTACAGGCTTACAATCCTTAACTTAGGGAAAAACAGGGCAAGAAAAGATAAAACTGAAAAGGGAAGTTTTCATACTGCTAAAACTTTAATGATACAAGTTTTTCGACGACCTGCTATCTTGTGCTTGCTTTCCTTTTATAGCTTCAAGTCATGTATAATTTCAAGTAAATTCTCACTCACAATATGCTAATCTTTTGTCAGGCTATCTAGCACATTTACTGCATCTTATGCATGATTAATCTCCATGCTCCTCCAAGCCCCACTCTTGAGTAGAGCTCATAACATATAACCACACCACATTCCTTGTAACGGATGTTGGCAGCTATTAGGAGTTAATTTTGAAAGGGCTATGTCAAAGCTTTTAACAATTCTCAATAATATACACCATCTAGATTAATCGTAAGACGACCTGGACATTCTGCTTATTTGTTACTTAATTCTTAGTATGAATCGGTAATATGTATCTACCCTTCATATCCTTATTATTTGTCATGTTTGACCCCTTCCATAACGTTCTTTGGTGCCATGAGGGCGTAGATCTCATTCGGACGAACAACTTGAGAGTGCTTTACATTTGAATAGTTCAAATATCATGTTCAGCTATTGGAGAAAAAGGAAAATGAGGAAATATTATTTGAATTACGTAAAATTTTAAGTGAATGCTTGTATTTTACTATATGATCTTTTATAAAATTGAAAATCTGCCTTCTTTTTCCGAGGCATTTTATCTTCCCTGCAAAAATTCTTAGGTATAAAAATCTAGAATAGAGTTTGGGTTCCCTTGATATGCTCTGTATCAAAATCAAAATTAGATAAAATAGCTTGTCATCTAGCAAATATATATTTATAAGCAAGGTTTTATACATCTTCTTGCAAAATAGATTTTGTAGCTTTACAATCAATTCTTAACAAAAAATTTTGATTTCGTAAATCAATCTGGAATTTGGAAATGCATAAAACAACAACAACAACGGCCTAGTAAAATCTTACAAATAGGGTCAGGGGAGGATAGTGTATACACAGACTTTATCCCGACCCAATGGGGCAAAGAGGCTGTTTTGGATAGACCCTCGGCTCAAGAAGATGAAAAAGACGAGAAGGGACAATATATTTGTACCATCAACAGAAACTATAGAATTAATAACAGCATCATAAGAACCAGAAAATAGATGACATGCAATAATAATAACCAGTAATTAAGGCCCAATGCTATGAAAAACAGAAGGATAGTGTGAACACAACATTAATTACTAGCCGTCTAAGATCAGCCCTATCAAACTAGCCTCACTCCCGGTTTAAAGTATAAAAACCTCGACTACCTCCTAGCCTACTACCCTAATGCTCGACCTCCACACCTTCCTATCAAGGTGACATGTCCTTGGAAATCTACAGACGTGCCAACCTCTCCCCAATACTTCTTAGGTCGCCACCTACCTCTTCTCGTACCCGCCAAAGCCAACCGATCATACCTCCTTACCGGAGCATCAAACTTCTCCTTCGCACATGCTCAAACCATCTTAGCTCGCTTCCTGCATCTTGTCATCTACAGGGGTCATGCCCACCTTCTCCCGAATATCTTCATTTCTAATCTTACCCATCCTAGTGTGCCTACACATCCACCTCAACATCCTTATTTCTGCTACACTCATCCCCTAGATATGAGACTTCTTAACCGGTCAACGGTCTGCCCCATACAACATAGCGATCTAACCACTACTCTATAAAACTTACCTTTGAGTATCAGTGGTACTTTCTTACCACACAGGAATCCAGATGCTAGTCTCCATTTTATCCATCCCACCCCTATTCGGTGTGTGACATCCTCGTCGATCTCTTCAACTCCCTGGATAACCGACCCAAGGTACTTAAAACTACCTCTCTTGGGGATGACCTGTGATCCAAGCCTTACATTCATACCCAGTTCTCTCCAGTAGGCGCTGAACTTGCACTTCAGGTATTCTGTCTTAGTCTTCCTTAACTTGAAACCCTTAGACTTAAGGGCATGTCTCCATACCTCCAACGTCTCGTTAACACCACCTCGCATCTCATCAATCAGAACTATGTCATCAACGAATAATATATACCATGCCACCTCCCCTTGAATATGGTGTGTCAGTGCATCCATCACAAGGGCAAATAAGATCGGGCTAAGCGCAGATCCTTGGTGTAACCCCATAGCAAGCAGGAAATGTTTTGAGTCGCCTCCCATAGTCCTAAACCAGAGTCTTAGCTCCATCATACATATCCGTGATCGCTCTAATGCAAGCTACCCGTATACCCTTTTCCTCTAGGCATCTCCAGAGAACCTCCCCAGGGACCTTGTCACACACTTTCTCCAAGTCAATAAACACCATGTGCAAATCCTTCTTCCTATACCAGTATTGTTCCAGTAACCTCCTAATAAGGTGAATAGCTTCTGTAGTCGAACGATTTGGCATGAACTCTAACTGGTTGTCCGATATAGACACCGTCCTCCTCACCCTCACTTCCACCATCCTCTCCCAAACTTTCATTGTATGACTTAGTAACTTGATACCCCTATAGTTATTACAACACTGAATATCAACTTTGTTATTGTACAAGGGTGCCACTATACACCATCTCCACTCCTCCGGTATCCTCTTCATCCTGAAAATAATATTAGACAGCCTAGTCAGCCACTCCAAGCCTGCTCTATCCACATACCTCTAAAATTCAACCAGAATTTCTTCTGGCCCTGTCTCTCTGCCCCTACTAATCTTACACATAGCCCCCACAACCTCCTCAACCTTAATGCGCCTACAATACCTAAAGTCTGGAAGACTCTTTGAATACCACATATCACCTAGCACAATATTCTGATCCCCTTTTCATTGAGAAGTTCATGAAAGTAAGTCTTCCATCTCTGCTTAATCTGAGACCCCCCCCCATCAATACTCTATCGTCCTTGTCTTTGATGCACCTTATTTGGTCCAGATCCCGAGCCTTCCTCTCTGTCGCCTTAGCTAGTCGAAATAACTTCTTATCCCTACCTTTTTCCCTCAGTTCCTCATATAGACATCCAAATACTGCAGTCTTAGCCTCCATGACCATCAGCTTTGCCTCCTTTCTTGCTACCTTATACCTCTCTCTGTTCGCTCTCCTCTCGTCCTCGCATGTGCTCCTACTTACTTTAGATATGCTACCTTCTTTACATCCACTTTGTCTTAGACCACGTCATTTCACTACCAGTCACCTTTATTCCCGCTAGAGTAATCCTTCGATACCCCTAGCACCTGTCTTGCCGCCTCCCTGACACAGTTCGTCGTCGTCGTCCACATAGCGCTCCCGTCCCCACTACTCCTCTAGGATCCGATAGCAGAAAACCTCCCATCCAACTCCTGGGCTTTATCCTTATTTAAGGCTCCCTACCGAAGCCTCGATCGACCTCGAGCAGACCTCTTCTTCCTCCTTATCATGATACCGATGTCCATTACTAAGAGCCTATGCTGAGTCGAGAGGGTCTTAGCCGGGATAACCTTGAAATCCTTGCACAACCCTTTATAACACCTCCATAGGAGGAGATAATTAATCTGAGTCTTCGCTATAAAGTTACCAGATGCTCCTCCTCATTCGAAAAACTAGAGTTCGCAATCACCAGCTCAAAAGCCTTAAGGAAATCTAACAGCGAAGTACCTCCTCCGTTTCTATCTTCAAAGTCGAAGCTGTCATGCACCTTGCCATTGCCACCAGCAGTTGACCCTATATGGCCATTGAAATCCACTCCAATAAATAACCTCTCAGCTGGTGGAATACTACACACAATCTCATCTAACCCTTCCTAGAAGAACCTTTTAACCTCCTCATCCAAGCCCGATTGCGACGCGTAAGCGCTAACGACATTAAGGATGCACTCTCCAACCATTCATATTAATCTATAATTCACTCGCCTAACCTCTACCATAGACTTTCTAATGTCCTTATCCATCAAAATACCCATTTCATTCTTACCCTTCATGACCCCAGAGTACCATAACTTTACCCGTCTGCATCCCGCGCCTTCGACCCTACCCACATAGTCTTCTGGATACAAGCTATATTGACCTTCCTCTTCTGGATCATCTTCGCCAACTCTATAGACTTACCCAATGTACCTATATTTCATGACCCAATCTTCAACCTACAAGCTCCATTGTTCCCCTTACCCCCATTGCCTCATGTCCTACCCTCTGACCCCTAAACCACCCCCCCGCACGAGGATAATTGCTATTTTTTTAATTGTAAGATAATTTTTTTGAGAATTATTCCAACGCTTTGATGCAAATGCAATAATATGTTCCTTGCTATATTTTTCCTGCTTTAAAATACTACCATAACCAATGTCTAATACATCAATTTTAACTATTTTCAAAAATCAAAGGATCAGGAGAGACCAGTAAGAAAGATATTTGGCTTACAATTTTATTTCCCTGATAATAGTGTTGTGGACTGAAGTCCACGGAGATAGATGTTTTATTATTCTATCATGGAGAGGTTTTAGCAAATTTCTAAGACTTGGAATGAATTGTGACACATAATTAACACATCCTAAAAATCTTTGAAGCTAGGTATTATCTAAGATTTTGGTCAGAAAATTTGTCGTTCCCTACTGGATATTCTGCCCAAGAAATCAGATATTGATTTGAAAAAGACTGTATTTAGTTTTTGATAAAACTAATCCATTTTCTTGAATAACATTAAAGAAAATCTTTTGATGTTTAAAATACTAATCTATGCTTGGAGAATACTAAAACATAATCAGTATAAACAATAATAAATTTTAAAAAATGATTAAAAATAGCATCCATTGTCCTTTGAAATTCAGAAGGAGCATTTTTTTAAACTAAATGGCATTACATTCTATTCATATTGCTCAAATAGTGCGGTAAAAGCAGTTTTATACCGGTTCTGGTATCTATTTGAATTTACCAAAATTCTGATTTAAATCAAAATTTGAAAATATAATTGGAGCATAAAGCAAATGAAGTAAATCTTTCTTGTTTGGAATATGATACTTAATCCAGCGGAGTACTTTGTTCAAAGATTTATAATTGATGACTAATCGAGGAACACCTCGTTCATTCTCTGAGTTTTTATTAGCGTAAAGGCAAGATAACTCCAAGGGAATTTGTTTGGAGATATTATGCGTTTATCAAGAAGATCAATGATATTTTTTTGACAATGAGTGGTCAGCACGTGATTCATCTGGATAGGACAGGCTTTTGTAGGGATGGTTTTTTCCATCAAAGTCAGCTTCGTAAGGAAGCCTAACAATGTGTTTCTTGCGATTCTAGAAGGCTATAGGTAACTCAGCACAAAGTTCTTCCTAAATTTTGGTTTCTAAAGTTTTTATTTTAGCTTAGAGAGAAGAATCTTCAAATTGTTGCTGTAATATCTGGAATGCTACTTCTTCTTTGAGAAAGTTGATCTGCGCTTCCTTACCTTTTATGGTAGACATGATCTTTGTAATTGGGGGTCTATCAAAAAGGAAGAAGAGTTCTACTTTTCCTATACGTCGATTAGAATCCCTTTGTTGGCTACCGTAAAAGGTATGAGCTCCTCGATGAAGGGAGTACCCAATATAACTAGATTGATTAGGTATTTTATTAATGGAAAGGAACTTGATACTAACAAAGATCAATTTTTAAGAGAGATTCTGACTTCAACATTAGAGAGCTTGAAGCCGATTCCTAGTTTTCCGCCATTGTCAGCTCTAAGGCCTTCTTTGGTTTTTTCCAAAAATTTGGTTGGAATGAGACCCTCTTGTATGTAGTTGAGACATGCACCTGTATCAAATAAGGCAACGACAATTAGGGTAACTCTCATATGTCATTTCCGTATGTAAATTCTGGAGAGGTGGTTGATGAAAACTTCTTGGTCAACTGGCTTGGTTTCAGTTTGTTTGGATTCTTCAGATTTGGTAGAGAGGTATTGGAGAACATGACGGTCTAACTCTTATCTAGCCTTAATTTTCCGAATTTCTCCCTTGAGGAGTGCTATCTCAGATTGAAGATCTTGGACAATTGTTTCCTTTAGGTATTTGAAAAGGAAGTCTAGAAAGAACATCAGTGATATTGTAGGTTCCCTACTACAATCCTTCTCTACAAGTTGCCCCTATTAGAGCAGACTTTTCCAACTGGAGTAAACCCCAAAAACTCTACTATTCTACAGCTATCAATCTAGATATAGCTTTAGAAGAAAACTTCAATGTCATGCAGAACAATTACAATGCCAACTAAATATATATATCAAAAAGGAAAAAATGATTTCTTTTTCATCAAAAAAGGAAACAAAAAGATTTATAAGGCAATTAAGTTTTATCCTAAGATTGTAGTTGCATAGATACAAATCATGCAACGTCTATTCATTTTGGCTACTGAACCAAAACTTAAACCCCCACCAACCAAAAAAAATCCATCGAGAGGAAAATGTGGTGTATTTGGTTATAAAGTTCATTAACTCTTCTATTTAGAAGTCTAATTTCACTCGTAAAAGAGTCAATGTTGCAAGAAGAGTGACACAATGCTAACATCGATAGCTCGCCCTCCTTGTCCCATGATATGTCTAGAGATGGTGATCATGTAATATTATGCTTTCATTTTCTGCACATTGAATTGCCATATATCTTCCATTTTTTCTCCTTGGATTGGTCTATGCACCTTTGATCTTTTTTCTGGATCTTATGGTAACGGAATCGGGAGTTAACTTTTGGTACTCATTATGGAAGATGTGTGTGGTACTGGAATCACATAATGGACATGGCTGAAAAGGATGAGACAGAAGGGTGGCGTCCAGCATGTCTCGCTCCTTATAACAAGGAAAAAGTTGTTGACATGGCAGGAAAAGTAACTTATGAACTAGTTTTTCATTCTTCAGGATGAACTCTATTATCAGATTGTTAGTTTTTTTTTCTTACAGCATTCTTCAATCTTATGGTCATGCCAACAGATAATGGCTGGGTGAGCATAGAAGAAAAGATCACTTCTCGGAAGGGAAAAAGTAAAAGTGTTGATTCAAGGAAGCAACTTAGTAGCGTGCGAGTAAAGTCTATATTATTACCCATTTCAACGAAAACAGCTTCCAGTAAGTATCCTGTTAAATCCCCCTCTGTTTTTTCTCAATAGTCTGTTTTATTGCTCAAAAGCAGCTGTTGCAGCGAAAAGAATATTTTGCTCTGTATGGTAAGTTTCTAAGTTTCTGAAGGTGTCGATC